ATCAGTATTCATGCTTTGAACAAATTAGAAATTCCTATGACTAGCATCTACTAGTAAAAACCAAGCCATTTTAATGTAAAATAAAATGATGCAAAATTGAAGCTTAAAACTAGAGCTAGTAAGGTCCACATGAATAAAACATTGGGAACTAAAATATAACATTTTGTCTGTGTGTTTTCATGTCGAGAATTCTTTGGGGATGAAGAGATATCAAATGGGCTTATTACCTACTTAGTATTTCTCTAGTTTTGTATATCCTTCATTTTAGCACCTTGTTGGTCTGATCTAATTTGTTTCAAGACCCGCAAATAATTTTCCCATATTCTAGGAATGATGGAATGCAGAAAGAGAAAACTTTATAGCCTAATTTTTTCAGAATGTTCTCTTTGCAGATCCAAGTCTCTCTTTTTTTTCCTTGTAGGTTTATGGTTTGACCTTATTATCATATTTTAATAAATACGACTTTTCCTGAGAATAAAATTATTACAGTTACTCTAGACAGTGGGGAACAGAATATGGATATATTGATGCTTCTTCTTTTCAAATATGGGACGGGACTACTATGTGAATTTATTCTTTTGCCTCCTAATTTATTATTTTCAAAGGTAACTGGGTCATGATCTAGTTGCATAACCCTTATGAATATAGTAGCATAACCCTAGAAAACATTCCTCAAAGCATAGTAGAACTTGGAAGAGTGCACCTGAAGGTCTTCCTTGTACTTATCTACCTGCGCCTGAAACCCAGGACTAGAAATCAACATGAAAGCCATCCTATTCCATGTCTGAACCATAGTGAGGGCAATAAAACCAGACAACACTAGGCCAACAATCCGCCGTTGTGAGCTTTCTTCAAATGTTCGTTATAAGGAGAATCGAGCTCATGTGTTTCCCCCAGGGCAATCTGCTTGTTGGAATCGACTATCTAATGTTTCAAGGAACCGAAGGGAGCAAGCGGAAAGGAGAAATGAATCTGCAAGGAGAGGACTTCTGACAGAGATTCAAAACTTCACATTCAAAGCATCCATCTGCTTCTTGACTGTCCTACCCACCACAGAAGAAATAAAACAAGAAGAGAAAAGTAATTCATTGGTAGGCTTGACCTTAGAGGTACACCGTCACGAGCTAAGGGAATTAGCGAACATGATGAATAATCCATCCAAAATGATGGCGGCCAGGAGTGGTAACTTTCTTTAGGAGGAAAAAGGTATGATAGAGAAGTGATATCGCTATTGCAGTTTAATAAACAAATTACCTTGCAGTGAAGTCCTAGTGTGTCTTATAAAACGAAGGGAATAGACGGAAAGTGAACCATGGTAGTCTCCACACTTGGGATGGAATGCCCTAAGATGGGCCAAAGAAGGGATGAATCATCTTCACACCTGTTCAGGAAAGCAGAGGGGAGAAACGAGAGAACTTCGATCAATACGAGACCATCAGATAAAAAATACCGACTTCCCACGCTTCCATCAACCATTTCCCAAGTAAACCTAGCAATTAAGTTCTTTAAGAACTGGCATTTGATAATATGATTATGCTCTTTTACAAGTATCAAATCTTGACGACATTCCCGTGACTGGTTTCTCCCATGAACCAAGAGACATCTCTTTGGGAAGCTTTCTATGTCCTGATTGTCAGCCATGGAATTTCTGACCGCAGACAGAAAGATGCTCACGGTTTTGATTTACATACCAACCAGCAGCTGAAGTAGAAGACAACTGACCAGCGATCATCTCACAGCCAATATCATTCATCTCACCAAAGTAATCACATTCCTCAATAAACTGGTCCTCAAACTAGATTCTTCGGACAAAGCGGGAAGGAATGACTAGTGGAATCAAATATGTTATGAACCTTTACATAATCGCAGAGGAGTGGAGAGACGTACCGTCGTTTGCACAACTTTTGGGGTTTTTTGGGTCTCCTCTCCGCATTGTTAGCCAGGACGCTGGAGAATGCAGTCGCGTGTGCCGAGTGATGCATACAGAGAGCCAATACGAAGAGACGAGAGAGAGCGACCGGATGAGAGCACAGTTGATAAATCAGAAGATGAACCACTTCTTAGTCAGAGGCCTCTTGGCATCTGGTCTGTTCTTCATCTTCTTCTCGTTCTCCCTTTGGCAACCTCCTCTCGATCAGATTCTTCTTCTTCTTCTTCCATCCTTGCGCAGTGCTCCTCACTCTTTTTGTGTTGGATACTAGATCGAGGCGGACCTCGTCAATCACCCACTGCATCAGCTTCTCTGTTGAGGCGCTGATTGCAGATTCTCACCGCCGCCGGAAGGGACCCCACAGGACACGAGCCAACGGACCAGGATAGGGGCAGGGTGGTCGACCCGTTACGACGGAACCAGAGAATGAACGGCTCTTCGCGGTGGACCAGAGTTTCGGGCGAACCGGCGGAACAATGCACCGGAGGGTCGCTGTAGGCGGGAAAATCGTTCGACGCACGTTCTGCCGTGAGAAGAGGAAATAACGGGGGCTTGGCGGGATTTCTGGGCGGCCCAGATCGCGGCCCGTTAGGGCAAAAACGGGATGTGCCCTGTAAAATGGAGAGGGGAATCAAGCGTGGAAAGACGAAGCGGGGCCTTCCTCCTGTTACTCTAAGAGAGACTTGCTCTGTGCCGGCTAAGAAAAATCTTCCGCGACTTGTAGAGAGGTTGCTTGGTGCCGGCGAGGGAGACCAAGGCCGGTCCGGGGCGAAAATCGAGGTCTGGTTGTCCTTGAGCCCGTGACACTGAGGAGCAAGTCGTCCTATGCGGCCTTCGGCGGCTCCTCTACCCCACCCTCTGGCCCGGATCGACCAAGTTCGCTCTCCAGGGTCCCCGACCTCCACAGATCACCGGCCTCTTCTCGGGCCTCCGGAAGCGAAAGGATTTGGTTGGTTCTCCTCTATTGGACAGAAGGCGGAGAAAATCCATAGATTACAACACAGAAGGCTCAGAGTAAAGCGCGGATGGCTTAGAGGGAAGGGTGAGTAAAATTTTTGAATTGCAAGGGGCTTGCTGTTGTTGAACTGCCTTTCATGTGCCCTATTTTTCCTAAAAGGCTACTCTTTAACGTTATTTGATTTGTTTATTCCACAGGTTAATCTGCTTGCATTGATTTTACTTGTTTACTTACATGAGCCCAACTCTAACAGAAGGCTTAGCTACATTTAATGTGTTGGTTCCAAGTGGGCCACAATAGGAAATAGGAAATAGGAGGGGAGATGAATTGGTCCTTTTGTTGGCAGACGGGAAAGTGCTTCGACTAACAAAGTTCTTCTTAAATAGGGTGACTTGATCCATAACCTACTCCTATCAATAAAATGAGAAATCTCAACTTTTATCATGGAAAGTCACTCTAGCCCTACGCTATTCTCTTTGTGGCTCATTTGCAGATTCTGTTCATTTAAGTATTTTGATGTTGACTAATAGCACTAAATAGAATTATCTCTCTCTCTCTCTCTCTCTCTCTCTCTCTGCCTTTCTTTCTTTTAAAGGCACACATGATAAATACCTCTCTTTCTTCACACCCCTATGTGTGGACCCAAACGCTTCACAACTTCATTGCAATTTCACAGCCGGCGCCAGTCATTTTAACAATAGTATATCAGATCCTCTAAAAAAACGTGATCGAGGTAAATACTACATTCGGATCATCTATCCTCAAAACTTATTTTTCTTTCCTAAAGTTTATAGAATGTCTGACATTTTACTGATTTGAATAGATTAACGGGCGTCATTATCATAATTCTTGTGCTTCGTTTCGGGAGGAATATCTATCACTGAAAGCAACTAATATCATGAACATGTATCCTTTGCGTATCTATTTATTGTGATTGATTAAATATTCAAGTTGAGTTCGTATTCAGATAAAACTCAGTGAGGTGCTCTATATCCTTCTCAATGAATCAGTCACCTTTTTATAATTAGCCAGGGTTACTGTGTAATTCAGTGTGCCACTATCGTGGCACTATGAGATGCCTATGGTACTATGTTCATCATGGAAGTGTAGTGAGAGATGCTTAATTGTGATGGTGATTTATGGTGTGTGCTTGTGCTTACTTTATCAATACTCTTGACTTATTCTTTTTGCATATATCCATTGGGTTTTGGGATTTCAAATATTTTCTGATGAAATCAGTTATCCAGCATTCATTTCCTATAAAAATTGTGAGTCAAGGCATTCATCTTTGTAATGATTTTACCAGATGTCTAGAAGATATTTGTGCATTTGGCACATGAACATGGTTAAGTTATGATGCATAGAAGAGTTTTATACCTTCTTCATTGTGTTAGACTGGGAAGTAAAGTCACTTTACTTCTTTAGTGCATTTAACAGACGTAGATTTTTAACTTTTGCTTGAGGATCTCTTATACATAGTGTGAACATTATTTGTCTGCTTTTATGTGATACAGAAATTTTTAATGAATCAAATAATATCCAATATTGATATATACTTATGAAGACTGAAACTTCCATCATGCGATCCATTGGTATTGTGCTTGAATTTGAATCTTTTTTTATGCTTGTTATTTCTTACTCTGGTTAATTCCCTTAGGCTAGAGGCATAAATGTCATCAGCTGTATTTCAACGAATGCAAAAGCGGCCGGATACACGATAAGCACCCTTCATTAATCATGATTAGTAAAGTGCTCAGATTAACAACCTCCCTCAGAGAAAGAAGGAATACATTAAGAGTAATGCAATGATGGTGCCCCAAATAAATGAATGGCAGTGAACATAGATCCTAAATTTCTTTGTTTTTTGTTGGTCTTGGAGTTATCTGGTTTTTGCCATCCTGAAACTTCTAATCTATTTTCGAAGAATGATATCATATGCACTATGTTGTAGATATTGCTTCCTTTAAATTTTGGTTATTGTTTAGAGCATCTAAGATTGTCACCTATAGCCTTTATAATCGTTCTTTACTGTTATAGTGTTTTTACTGGTTCTTGGCTTTTGATAGGATTTCTGAGTTCTTTGAATTGGGATCAGTTTTTCACATTTAATAAATGGGGCTCGCTAGTCTGAGGTATGGCGATCCTCTCGCAACTTGTCTAAATTTTCATTTACAAGGTGTATTTTTTAAATTTTGAAGTTAATCACTTTTCTTAGGTAGTTTCAAATGTATGTTGTGAATGGTATCATATTATACATCAATGTGAAAAGAGATTGCCATTCCATTCATTTTGTTGTTCAGGTAGTTTGATTTCGTAGGATGCTTTTCTTTTATGCTTTTACGTTTTGAGATTAAACTATACTTTTTCTTGGATTTTTCGTGTGCTTTTAGCGCTGTTTTTTCTTGTTCTCACTATTCGTTTTGTTCAAATCGTCACACCGTACCATCTGTTTACGTTTTATGTGAATTTTTTGTTTATTTGCTTTTCATGTTGCTGAGGCCTTGTTTTGAATTTCTTCTCTCGGATTTATTACAAATAAATGGGGCTTGTCAGCTAATGTATATGAAGATCTGCTTACTGTCTGAGTTTAAGACATAATTAAACCTTAACATTCAATTTTTTTTCAGCTGTGCTTTGCTTTATTTCTATCAGTTAACAGTAACCGTTACCTGATTTCAGATCGAACTCCGGAAAGGTTTCTAGGCACTCCCTGAAATTTGAGAAACGAAAGCATTTCTATGAGCGTAAGTTTTTCATTTTTGTTAAAGTTCTTCATTTATGTAAATTATGGATGCTATGTAAGTATTTGATGTAATAGGCTTGATTCCACCGAACTCACTGTTCTCTAGTTTCTTTTTCGCTTTCATATGTTTAAGGTATAGGATCAGCTCTGATATTTTTTTCTTCTTTCTTTTCAAAAGCTATTGAATAAAGTGGATTACATGATCATTTCATTTTCTTTTTCACTCGTTATTGTGCTTTTGACGCACTTGATAATTAAAAATGAAAGAATTCTAATGTATATGAAACTGTAAAGTTTCTATTGTATAACTTATATAATCTTCTCTGAAAGTACTTATCTGTCTTCAATATACGAGGATTCTTGATTCAAAACAGAAAAAGTAATAATGAGATCGTACATATGCCTTTGAATATCTATTTCAGCCATCGAAATGATTCTGTCAGTAGAAGGTGAGAAGGATCTTGCGGAACTAAATTCTGAGTTGTGTCATGCAACCCCAGTAATAAATGTATTTCATTCTTCTCAGTTGGATGGCATACTTCTTTTCTGCATAGTGAGATGAGATATACTTATTACAGTCATATTACCTCTTCAAGTAAATATTTAAACAGAAATTTTTGTTTTTCATGTGTTGTCCTTGTCGATAGTCAATTATAACCACAATATTTCTAATAATGTCGGGCTGGAATTTTCTTTTCGTGTGTGGAGCTTTAACTGCACTTGACACGGATTTATATTTTTGTTGCCCATGTTGTATTAGCTTAAAATAGAGAAAATTAGAAAAAATGGTCAAGGAGTAAGGTTTGGCTGCTTTATCGATTAAAGATTGCTGGTGCATTGCAGCTTGATTGGTAACAGTTCCTAAAGATTGATTAATTGTCATAGTTCTAATCCTGGACTATTGCATTCTCGGTCAGTAGATTCCGATTCTGATCTGTTGATTTGAGCTGAAATTGGAGGCTTCCATGAATTATGATGGAGAACCTACAAAATAATCGACAATTAAGGAAAAAGGGAACCGAATTGCTTACATGGAAATTTGATGGTCTCAATCACGCAGCTTGGTTCTAACTGCAATTGCTCTTTCGTTGACACCCTTTCATGTTGGAAAGAGACATAATTTTATAGAAATGAAGTATAAAAGGGAGAGGAGTCTGCTGGAGAGCCAATGGATAAAGGACTAGAAATGAGTTTGTAGTGGGAGAAGCAGCAAACTGAAACTGGAAAGTGTTGGAAAAGGAAAAACTTCTGTTGGTGCTCTACATTGTTCGCCCTGACTATGTGCAGCAATTTGCTGTGGTCACTGTGGTCACAGCCCATCTGCCTGATTTCGCTTTCATCCTTTCCAATGGAGTTAGGATAGTGGCAAGGCAGGAGATTTTAATGAGGACGAGAGTTTCTTAAAACACGAAATTTTAAAAAAACTGGGTAATTAATCTCTTTCTTGTTTAAATTTTTTTGTTGCCAACTTCTGAGAATTGAAAACTGTTGTGATATTATTTGAAATTTTAATTCGAACCACCATTTGTTGATATGAGATTTATACTGAATTCATGAACCTTATATTAAAACATGTTGTCAATCAAGTCCTATATTCAATGTTTCCATGGGGAATTTATAAATTTAAAATTTTTATTCTTATATTTATACCATTTGATGCTATGTTGGACCAAGTTCATGTCTGGGTGTAATTTCAGGTTGACTCATCTTGGTCTCACTGGTTTGCCAAGGACTATCTCGTGCGTATGATGTTAATCTGTGGTGTCATTTGGGGCTATACAGGGAATGTGGCTCCTGAACTACAGATGGATGCTGGGATGGGCAATATTGCGATAATCTTCTAAATAAGAATGGTACTAGTTGCAGCCAGATTCAATGAAAGGCAACTTTAAAACACCCTGGTTGACCTTGGACGATCAACATATAATCATGATTCGTATGTTTGCTTTATGAGTTTCCCTTACATGAATTGAGCTGGTGTAATTTCAGACTGGTGACTATGGTCTTTGATGCGTTGGTGCTAGGGCCTATTTAACTGTGTTTTTGTGGACTTGATTTCAGTTCACTACTTTATTTCTTTCATTCATCTATCGCAACATGCTAATATGATCCTCTTTGGAAGGATCAGATCAGAACGAATCAGGGGAAAGAAAATCAACAATGTTGATATAGCAACATTGGACAGTGTAGTGTTGATAGAATGTCAGAATGATAGTTCTATCGAAATAGAGGGGAAGGAGAGAAGTGGGGGTGGGGATGGGATTCGAGAGGATTCCCTGCCTCTCCAGGTTCACTGTTCTCTCTTACTCTGTTTCTCCAGGCGCTATTTATAGTTCTCAGATGATCTCGTCTGAGACTTCTGATCTATGGAGGTCTCCTGAATTCCTCCCATGTTCTATGCACACGTCTCCTTCTTCCGTCTTCTATGTTATTGATTTCAATATTTCCCAGCAAAGGTTGAGAGTCCCTTGTTTCTCAGAGAACATGCAAAGAAAAGGAGTCTCTGATATGGATCGCCAGCTGGATGTGGAAAGCATGGCCTTAGACCATGCTATTCTTTAGCCAGGCTGCCTGGATCTTCAGTCATTTGCAAAACTGATGGGCTGTAAAAGAACATTGGACTTATTGATTTTTATGATCATATAAAGGAGATATACAATCTTCACCTGTCGGTGTTATGGTGCCATTCTTATCATTTTTTTTTTATTCTTCTGTTATATTTTATTTGAGTGGTCATTTTATTGAGTCTTAAATCTTGAACTGCTAAATGGTCTAGCTGCAATTTGATTTCAGTATTTATTTTTTCATCCTTTTCCCTTCTAGAAAATACTGATGCTTAAATTATTCTTCACGTTTGATATGTTTTCAGATGTCAAAAAGGTTGCCGTTTCCCTATCTGCTACAAAAACAATCAGCAAGGTTTCACACTGCTCTTTGATCATTTGACACCGCTTTTGTGCCTCTTTTAGAGTTTCTTGAAGTGCTGTTATATCTTGCTCGTTTATGAGGGATTATCAAAGCAACTTTAAAGCTGTTTCTTCATCTTTTAAGCGATGGTCATGGATTGTCGAGAAATGTATGTGAAAACTCAAGCTGACCCATTTTCCATCAACAAGGAGATGCTGTGACGATGCGCTCTTCCTGTCTTCACATACCTTGGAATCTTCACCTGTTTCTCTTGACACAAATCGTCTCTAATACCTTCCCTGCGAGCTTCATCGTCCAAACTTTCTTTCTTTCTTTCCAGTTTTACTTCAGGCCCAGGATTCATTGAACTTTGGACATGCCTTGTCTGCTCCCGCAATCCACAAAGACGGGCGGCGGTCTCGCTGTTCCATCACAGCTTGGTTTGATCTCCACTTTAGGTTTCTCACATGTAGAGGCATATTTTATGAGTTTCCATCGCTCAAACATGATTCTCCCCCAGACATTCTATTAGCCACTGGTCTTTATAGAGTTTCTTATGGTGTACTTTCATCTCATTCCATCCTGATCCTCATTCTCATCAACAAGAACTCGTCCAATACTTGATTGAACGCAAGAAATTCAGAGATTTTTGCCCGGATTCAATTACACCATCTAGAGTCATCCGCATGATTTCTTGACGTGGGTTTGTGACGAAACTGCTTTGAATCATTTCTCTGAATTTTTTTAAGGTGGTGATCATTCAATTTTGCCACCTCTCTAATGGCCTTCTGTGAGCTTGCGCTGTCCTTTAATCGGCAATGCATCGATGTATGGTCACCAGTCTCACTGTTCTCCCTCTATGAGTGCTAAATGATCAATATTCATCTTGTTTAGTATTTTTTCAGTCCAATTCCCCATGGAAGTCATCTACTCTAGGGTTTCCTCTGCAGAAGAAAAGAACACGAAGCCGGCAGAAGAAACTCAAAGCCTATGATCTCTCTGCACTCTCTGCCACCTTGCCGGATGAAAATAGCCCACCGCCACAGCAGGACGGTCCCACTGCTAAACTGAAATTCAACTGCAAGTCCAGGACGAAGCTAGTGTACAGTCCCTTTCAGCTTCCTCATTCTTGTTGGATCTCGTCCCAGTTCCGACCGCTCTTATGGCGTCTGATTCCCGCAGGGAGAGAGAGGGAAAGCAGCTACAGGCCGTCTTCAGCCATCCCGCATTCCAGTCGGACCCAGTCGCCGCCATCCGGCAGCACCTCGAAAGCACGCAGCCGCTGGTCTCGAAGCCGGCGAAGAAAGACGGAGAGGGGAAGAGGTCGACGAGGAAGAGGCGGCAGCGGTCTACAGGCGTGAAATCCATGGAGACGTAGCTCTCTGGACTGGCCCCAAGCACAGAGAACCCCTCCTCTCATCCCCCTCCTACTCTGACAATTTCGGCGAGGTTTCTCCAGATGGGCACGATGCACACCTCTTCTCCGGCGAGCTTAAGGTCTCAGGCTGCTGTGCCGGCCAATGTTGATCCGCCTGTGCATTCTGTTTTTTCACCTCGTGATCTTGATTCATCATCTCTATTCCGCAGAAGGTTACTATCTTATTAACGGACATTTATAGATATTCCTCGACTAAGCTGTTCACTAGATTCGAGGGTGTATAGATCGGTAGGGAGACGCACACGCAGATACACTGGAGAGAGCTAAGGGTTGAGAGAGATTTTAAAAGGATTGGCTATTTCAAGTGCTGGTAAAGGACAGACGGAGATGGGTCGTGCCCACGAGCGTTAACCCGTTTTGCTTGTGCACCGACTATCTGGATAGCTGCCTTCCGCCTTGTGGTGACAACCTCTCCTTGTCAGGCAAGGACTTCGTCGCCGGAGCAACAGCGACGTCCCGCGGCGGCGTCTCAGAGGTGCCATCGCACCCGAAGGATAAGGGTCCGTGTCTGTGCTGGCTCCGTACGTGAGATTCCCATCTTGGTGGAGTACTTCGGCTATATGTGGCGGTTGGAGTGCGTGGATATGCTTTTATCGTCTCTTGAATGACGACCGATGGGAGTTTCTTGAAACGTTGCCATGGCCAATTTGGTGGTATCATGTTATCCAGTTAGATGACGGAGAGATTCTACAGGCATGCTTCACTCTGAATACTTAGACATTTGCTACTTCTTAGATGAAGTCATGCAACCGCCGATGAGGAGCACTGGCGACATCGCAGGGCCCGTCTTGTGTGGATCTGGCCTTCTGGCGGCATTGTCGTCCGCATGAATGCTGCAGCCAGAGCAGATCCATCCGGAGAGACGGCGATTTAAAGCCCGCTCTGCGCCGCCACTGAAGGAGGTCGTCTCACCATAGCCGTGGCTGGCAAACATATCCATTGCCACGATCCAGTTCCATGCCGGCGTCGGGAGGAAAACGTCCTGACGCTCAGCAGCGCGTGCACATGGGTTCTGGATTCCTTGCTTCTCCCTCTCTCTCATGTACTTCTCGGTCCCAGACAACTAGTTCGCTGATCGTAACATTCTACAACATTTCTAGGACTGCGCTTCGTCGGTGGGGGGTGGGGAAGAAGGATAAACTGTTTCCTTGGGAACTGCGCCGACTGTGGACAGCTCACAGATGTGACCACTGAAGATCAGACAGTTTCGCGGGATAATGGTGAGGATAAAAGCAGCCGGAACCTACGACCACGTCGACAGTGCATCAGCCCAGCCCATTTAGGAGTGATTTCCTTTATTATTAATTATTTTTTGCTATTTCTTTGTTTTGATTTCTGAACTCAGCCCAGCCCCATTTGAGGAATTTACTTATTTTACTCTATGAACGAAAGGCTGTGAGAGTCAACCAATTGCGCACCGTGGATGTTGACCAAGTAGTTTGACCATTGACCAAATAGTTTCACTGTTGACCCTTAGTCGTTGATAGTTGACCACATTGGCCTGGTTGTGGGGGTAGATAACTTTGAATTAGGCAAAGTGGATTGGCATAGACCAAACAGTCTGGACCGGAGCGGTGGGTTGGCTTGGACCTGAAACAAGCACGTTCCACTGAAAACGTTGGGAATCGCATGCTGTACATAAGGGGGGGGAGAGAGAGGCTATCTTAAAACTTGTTGGCGCTAAAGAGACCACAACCATTATCGCAAAACACGGAGTGAGAGGCGACAAAAGGAGCAGATGATCAGAACGGCAGGGCAGGACAGCGCTGCCAGACGGCGGTGGTGGGGCAAATAGTGGCAGCAGTAGCAAAGGATGGCGGAGGAAGGGGTGTGTGGTGGTCGTTGGCAATGGGCGAAGACAGGAGGGCAGTGGGATTAGGTGGCAGTAGACGATGGACAGTGGCAAAGGGTGACGGCGACGAAGAGTGGAAGGCGAATAATGACAGAAAGGCAACAGTTTGAAGATGGGCAGTGGTGGAAGTCTATGGACGGATGGTTGGCAATAGGCAACGGCAAAGGAAGGTGGCAGCAGATAGACACCCTCCATTTCACAAAGGGTAGTTGGTTGACCCTCATGGCCTCTCCATCATGGAGCGAAATATGTAAATTCCTCAAATTCTTCCCAGCCCTCATTCTAGAAATATGAGAGTATTTATCAGAGTTCAGAAATAAAAATAATTAATAATAATGGAAATCGATCTTGAATGGGGCTGGGCCGAAGCGGTGTCGACGTGGTTGTAGGTTTCCGCTGCTTCATTCTTCACTAGATAGTCTTACTTTAGTCCATATAAAAATACAATAATATTGTGGTAAATTGGGCTTGTTCTACCCATTACGAGTGGATTTAAAGAGACATGATCTAATCATTCAGCAATTTATTGAAGTGGGCATGAATAAAAAGTTATAGATTATTTAAATGAGTCATGGGTCGGTAAAAATAAATCCTATTGAGAAAGCTACGCTTCTTTCACTCATCAAGTACCACTCTTTAATGCCTCAATAATAACCATAACTTTGTATCAAGATATAATGACGTGGCCTCATTTACATGATATTTAGAAATTTGCGTGTCGCAATTTTCTATAATGAATGTAGTAGAGGATATGAAGAGAAGTTCCAAAAGGATGAAAAATAAATGTTCGTCTGGCAACAACCCTTTATTTCTTAAGAAATATTTTGACTGGTAACTATGAAGTCTTAATAATGGCTATTGTCTCTTTAGCGCCAACAAGTTTTAAGATAGTCTCTCTCTCCCCTTTGTACAGCATGCGATTGCTAACGTTTTCAGTGGAATGTGCTTGTAGTACACCACTCCTCTCTCTCTCTGGCGATCTGACGGCGAGGACGATAAACAAGATAATTCTCTGTGGGTCTTGAAAGAGATTAAAAGAATAGGAATGGAGGTCCTGCGAAAACGGAGGGAAACCCAATAGATGAGGAGAAACACTGTTTAGCCCTCGACGCCGAAGCTGACATGGCGCTAGATCATGTCCTCGGGTTGAATTCGCAGTGTTCTGCTTTTCGGTTCTCGCATCGACCATTAAAGACGCATGCTACCCACTCTCAGTCATCACTGACTAGCAGTGGATAATGCGCAAGGGCACTCCAACGGTGGCTCGGCCCCTGATCTTAATCGCCACCGCGCGCCACGGATTTCTTCAAGTGGATAGACACGCTACCTTGTCAGGCTAGCACGAATTGTGCGGTCGATATCCTTGGCTTGCGGTGGCCCCGTCGCCCTTGCACCTTCTTGCTGCCCGTCACCTGACTTATGCCGTGTCCTTCCGGTCTCCCAAATCCTTGTATCTATCACTAATTCGAAGGCTTCATCTTCTTATCAGTCTCTGTTAGGTGGCGTGTTCTGATATCTGATGTTGTCCATCAACAGGCCACATGGGCCTTCTCTCTCGCTCTCATTCTTTCGAAGATGGTAGTTCCCAGTAAAGGACGACAGGAAATGCGCCCGGAAGATCCCCACTCGAGCGTTACTAGAAAAAGAGAGAGAGAGAGAGAGAGGAAGACCCGGTGAAGGGGGCGGCTATGGGCCGTGTGAGAATGAGAGGTGTTGGTGTAGCCAACCAGTTCCACGTGAAGCGGCGGCAATGAAGAAGACGGCGCTATTCTGCCACGGAGGGCCGGCTCAATTCTCCTCCTTCCTATTTGCCTAAAAAAAGGGTTGTTGAAGCAGCAAAAGTTCAACGGATTCACCAGAGAGAGAAATAGAGATGGAGAGTGGCAAGGCTCATGCCGTGGCGGCTGTCGCAGTTCTGGTTCTTCTTTCTATGGCCCTGCTCGCTGCCTCCGCCCGGCGGCCCATTGGCGGCGGCGGTGCAGTCCAGCGTGCGGACGCCTTCCGCGCACTAGTGTTGTCCGGGAAGCAGAAGCCCGTCGGGAGCTCGCTCTGGTGCTGCAACGATTGTGCTTACGATGAAAGTATTGGCGTTTACATGTGCGGGGACCTGACACATGAGGAGATCCGATGCGCCTACGGGTGCAACAGCTGCACCTGCGAAAGATTCTTAGTCCCGCCTTGCATCTGCCTCGATTTCTTGAAGAGCTGTCCTCCCCCTTGCCACAGCTTCCTCTCCATCCCCGGCAAGGACTCTGCTGTGTGAGCACCAGCGACGTCTGGCGGCAGGATCCCAAGGTGCCATCGCATCCAAAGATGAAGTGCCGAAGTCCGACACCATCTTGAATGAGTGCTTTGACTGTGCAGTTGTTGGAATGTGTGGATATGTTCATCATCTCTTCAATAACGATCGATGAACATTGGCCAACAATTGTCGTGAAAATTTGACGCAGTAGAAATTTGAAGAATTGATTAACTTGATCACGTTTCAGCTTTGGCTGTGTATTTTGGAAACAAAATCATGACCTTGAATCTAAAAGAAACATGTCTTGGTTGAAAACACTTACCCTGAATCCATAGAACGAAGAGATTTCACTCCTTGAGTCCACAAGAGGTTGATCCTGAATCCATAGGATCGAAAATAGTTCCTTAAGTCCATAGGGGTACTAGAATCCAGTAGTAGAAGGGGAGAATCTCCAGAAAGAAGGAAAACTCGAAATTGATTGATAAAACGTGTATTTCCTTTGGGGCTATAAGGGGGGGCTTATTTATAAGCAGAAAATTAGTTATAACTAACCTATAAAAGGGAAAATGGTTATGATCCTAGAAAATAGAAAAAAAAAAAGATTAAACTTTTCTACAAAAAAGGAAGATTATGTTAGACTACCCCTAAGAAATAAAACAAAACATGGGAGTTATTTAACATGAATAAAATATACAAATTTGAGATTTAGGCATATTAAATATGTGACCAAATCTCTTATTGTGTCATTCCAAGCTGAATTTGAACCAAATAGAGTTTTCACGTCTCTTGAGTCTCTAATTCACTTGAATTGGTCTAAGACTTTGTTGTACTCCATTCTATTACTTTTTAGCTCTTTTGATGCAGATTCTATTAGATTCTCTGCCTAGGTTAAAAACCTTACATCCCTCGTTTGGCAGTAGTTTTCGGGCTACATCAAAATTTGTCATCATTTGGGGTGTGAGCATGGACTCAATGTCAGGAGTTACCAAACTATTGCATGTCGTTCACTGATGGAATGAAAATAAAAAATCTTAGAGGGATGAAACAAACTCATGAGAGTCATTAGAAACATCCCCACAGCCGATTTGGCAGCATTGTAATCCAATTAGATGGCAAGGAGATTCCACAGCCATGCTTCACTCTGAATATTCAGATGTTTCCTATTTGTAGACCTTTCAATGGATTAAACTGCAGAAGTCATACAACCGCAGATGAGGAGCACTGATGACATCTCAAGTCCCTCTCATGTGGCTTTGGTGTGGCGACCGCATCGACCACACAAATGCTGCAGTCAAAAGAGATCCATTTGGATCAACGACAATTAAGAGCCTGCTCTGCGCTACCATTGAAGGACGACGTCTGACCATTTTCATGGCCGTGATCCAGTTCCATCCTGGTGTCGGACATCAGGGATAAAATGTTCATACGAGTTCTGGATTCCTTGCTTCCCCACTCTCATTTACTTCTCGGTGCCAGGCACAAAGTGTTTGCTCATAATCTGCACCCTGTTTGGTGGTTCTCTGATTCTAACATTCTTAAACTCTCAAGGACCAGCTATGAAAGATGGAAAGAGAGAGATAGAGAGGATGGCAAACCTTTCCCTTGGGGACTGTACTGGCTAAGGACAGGTGACACCTTAGTTCTTCCTTGACACTGCCCAAGCGCTTTTAGCTCAGACTGTGAAGATTGTAGATCAGACTCAGTTATCGTGAGCTAGTTATAAATTGGGCTTGCTCCACTTGTGTGGATTTTAACTTAGATGACCATCCAATCATTGGGCAATCCATTTAAGTGGACATGAATATAAAGTTATGCATCATGTCGAATCTTCCTGGTAGCCAGATGTTTAGCCACTGCCAGGAGTGTGGTCGTCGCTAGAAAGAGCCATTACCCTTGGGCTTGATTTGAGAAAGAAGGCAAAGATTACTTGATTAACTTGAAATGAAAATAGATATAGTCTTATAAACGACTCAACGATCAGGTAAAATATATCTGATTGGGTTTCACTTATATTAAACATGAACCAAATAATACGAAAAAATAAAATAAAACATAATATATATTGAGAATAAATAACACGGTAATATATGGCTTTCCCCTTTAAGCTAGTGAGTGGATATTATCCAATCTCAGCTTAGATATCATCTTTTAAAAAGTAGGTATGCTCAATCCCTTTGTGAGTATGTCCATAATATGATTATGAGTTGAAACATATGATGTATAAATGATGCCACTTTCTAACTTATCCTTCATAAAGTGCTAATATATCTGTGTTTTGTTAGATCATGTTGTACTAGGTTATGAACTATACTAATGGCTCATTTATTATCACAATATAGCTTTGTGAGTATGTGCCACTTGATTCTCAAGTCTTTTAGAATACATTTTACTCATGATACTTTGTAAATTCTTTACATTATTGCTTGAAATTTAGATTCTACACTTGATCTCACACCACTTATTATTTCTTATTGCACCATATAAGAAACTTCTACCAAGAAGATTATAGTGGTCTGAAGTAGATTGTTGATTGACAATGAAACCTACATAATCAAGATCAATGTAAACTTCAATATCTAACCTTTTACCTTTCTTGAATAAGCTACCTCTATGAAGTATTTTCTTCAAATGTTGTAGATCTCTCTTAGTTGTAAGAGGATGAACTTTTCTTAGATTGTACATGAATTTAATTTGGATGTCCACTGCATATGAAATTTTAAGTCTAATATGAGAGAAGATAGATTAAATTTTATTGACAAGAGGAAGAGAAAACCCTAGAATTGATATTGATATTTTGAAGAAGAGGAGTACATAAGATTATATAGAAGAAAGGAAGAAAGAGAGAGAAGAATAAGGACATAGAGAGAGTAAGTCTAAAATAGGCTTGGTGGGCTTAATGGGTCTATTCTAACACTTTTCTTCAAGCTAGAGCATATAAGTTAAATATATCTAACTTGATGCACGTCGTATCATAAGAGATCCTCGCAAGACTCTTGATGAAGACGTTCACAAGCTGATGAGATAAAACGATATGCAAAGTAAAGATAACACCTAACATTATCTTATCTCGAGTGTAATGACAATCAATCTCAATATGCATTGTCTACTCATAAAACATAGGGTTTCTAACAATGAAGATGACAGCTTGATTATCATAGTACATAAGTATTAGTGTAAGCGATGAGATGCCAAAGTCTTTGATGAGTGAACTAAGCCACACCATCTCTCATGTCATCTTGACTATGGTGTGACACTCAAACTTAGCACTAAAGTAAGATACCACCTTTTACTTTTTTTAATGCTACATGACAAGATTGTCACACACATATATGCAATAATCAGTGGACTTACGATCTCCCTTATCACTAATATATTTTGTATTCAAGTAGGCTTCAATATGAAGATGTTCATATCTTTGATAGATAAGCCCTCTCTCAAGAGCTCTTTTGATATATGTCAAACCCATAAAGCTTCTTCCTAATGAACTTATTAAGGTTTCTATATGAACTAATTAAGGACACTAACCATATACATGATGTGGGGGCAGAGTGACGGTGAGGTAGATCATCTTCCCCAACAATCGTCTATACTGATTAGCATCCTCTAAGAGTGGAGACAACGTATCTTAGAAGTGCAGTCATGCCTCCATAGGTGATGACTCTAACTTGCACCCAAGTAACTTAGTCTTTTGAAGCATATAAAAAAAAAACATGCTTTTGTTGAGAGAGAGTGAGTTTGTCATCTTGAAAGATAAACTCAATCTTAAAGAAGTATTATGGAACCTCCAGATCTTGTATATTGAAGTGTTATTATAAGTATAATTTGGTAGATTGAATGTTTGCTTCATCATTTTCTATCACAATAATGTCATTCACATAAACAAGTAGGATAATAATGCTAACTTTAATAGTCTTTGTAAGTACTATGGGATCCACAAAATATGGTGAGAATCTAAATTACAACAAAAGACTACTGAACTTAATAAACCAAGTATGTGGACTATATTTAAGTTTGTCAATGATATTTTACAAAGGACACTTTTGATGACTTAACAACATATTTAGAAAGTTGCTCCATAAATAATTATTCTTTAAAGTCACCATAGAAAAACATATTAAAAATATAAAATTGATGTAAAAACCATGCTTGATTCACTGTCAGATAAAGTATCATTCGAATAGAGTTGAGTTGAACCACTAGAGAGAATGTCTCAATGTAATCAATACCATAAGCTTAGGTGAACCCACAAACAACTAGACGAGCCTTGTGATAATTATAAATGAGTAGTTACATCTATATATTAATATTTGATATATAAATGTTAATTAATAGGTAGATAATATAATTATATATGTGTTATCGAATCATTATGTCATTCATAATATTTTATATTTAAGTCTTAATATATATTATTTTATTTATATTATGAGAGTAACCCTACTTGACTTTTATGAAGTTTAGTGATTCTCTCACATTTTCTTGATAATTATTTGATTACAAGGACTTAGGTGAACTTTTATTATGAGTTGGACATAATGAAAAAAACTCAAGACTTCAAACTAAAGAAAAGCCTAAATCTTATAGAGAGGGCCAGCCTAATATGTTATAGGCTCAAAAGAGGGCGTCACCTTGGCCTAGCTTATTTGAACCTAAAAGGACTATTAAGAGATAAGATCTAGGTTGTCTATCTTAGGTGCTTTAAGATGAGATTAAGAGAAGGATTAGAGTGCCGCCCTTATAGAAGAATTTAGATTGTCCACCAAGAGTGTTAGTTATTAATCATAATTATTTATTAGAGGCCTAATTCTTGAGAGAATTAAAACATCTCACCCCCCTCTTGAAGGACAATTTTTGGATCCCTCTCTAACAATGACTAGCCAAAGGAAATAGAAAGAAAATCAAGGTCTGATCAATGACATTTTCATGTCCAAGATCATCATGGAGAAAATATTACCTAAGGCATATAGAGATCATCATAGATCAAACATCACTCAGTCTAGGACTAACGCACAATGAGATTT